CTCCCTAGGTTTAATCTCGTCCTCAAATGGGAGCATTTTAGACACCCCTGCCCCTCCTGCCTCCACCAGGACTCAGTAAAAAGTCCTCTGCACTAAAAGCTGAACCCTAACCCCATCTCCTGCCGTGGTCTCCATGTCTTCAGAGGGCTGACACTACAGACTCTGGGACCTGGTGCTCAGACCTCAGCCCAAAGACTGAGACCCTCCTACCCACTCTGCAACCCGACCTGGCCTTTATCTCCGTCCTGCCTGGACCGCTAAGAGGTAGTTGTCACTGAGAGCCCCCTCGGGGCTCTGACTGCCTGGCGGATACCTGCTGCTCTCCCGCCCACCCTGGGGAGTGTGCCCTGGGACCTCATGCCTCCCGACCTCACAACTCCTTCACCGGACTAGCAGCCGGATGTGCCCCAGGCCCAGCTCTGCCCCAGGGGAGAGGCCAGGACCTCAGTCGCAACTAAGACACCAGTTCATCCTATGAAATGCCTACAGGATGACACAGTGGCTGGCTGATGTGGAGATTTGGATTTGTTTTCCGGCTTGCTGCTTTTGAAAGCCTTCTATATGTTTGTTAGGCACCGGCTTAATCCTGTAAAGTAGATTGTCTCCTGCAACGCTCCAGTCCCCTGAGTAGTGAATGGGAGCCACGTGAGTGCTATCCATGCACCGGTCTCTCCCCGGGCCAGGCGCTCCCCTGATGTGCCCAGAAGCCCAGAGATCCCAGACTCAAGACAAGCAGCCTCTTCCCTGGCTGGTGTCCCACTTCCACGTCCCATCTCCTTGACCTGGGGCCCACTGCTCCCCAGGCCCAAGCTAGCGCCAGACGTAGATGCTGAGACACTCTGGCGGAAGGAGCTGACCCTCTCCCTCTGCCCGGAGCCTGGCTCTGCTCTCACACAGCAGCCCTGGGACCTCCTCCGTGTCTGTCTGCTCTGGACCCTGTAGCAATAGCCCCAGTTGGCCAAGACAGGGGCAGTCGGCACTCTCTCAGCCACAGGACCTAGAGTGTGACTCGCTGTGCACCACTCAAGACACTTCCAAGAGTCCTAGGTGGAGAAGGCAGGACAGTCCCCTCATCCAGGGAAGGTGCAGCAGACCTGGTAACGGTCCAAATCTTTCCCGAGGGTTGGGCAGCCTGAGGTGCAGAGGTACCTGGGAGCCCCGTAGTTCCACTCCCCAGTCCCATCCTGTACCCCCAGCTGCTGAACAGCATGCCAGTCACTGGCCAATCAGAAAGAGAACCACTCTACCAATTCCCAGTCAGGGCACATGCCTGGGTTGTGGGCCAGGTCCCCAGTAGGGGGCATGCAAGAGGCAACCACACACGGGTGTTTTTTTCCCTCTCTTTCTCCCTCCCTACCCCTCTCTAAAAATGAATAAATAACATCTTTTTTAAAAAAGAAAGAGAACCTCTCTATTCATTGTGAGCAGAAGGAATTTAACATAGGAGGTTACACAGGTGAATGAAAATCTGAGCCCCAGAGATTAACAGCAAAAAGACATTCCAGTTCTCAAGCTGGAGGAACAAAAACAGGAAGCATAGCCAGACCTGCCCAACAGGCCCTGAGGCCCAGACCTGCCCAACAGGCCCTGAGGCCCTGAGGACGGGGCCATCCCCTGGGAACCAGAACCACGGGGAAGACCAGCTGCAGGCTGGGATGCAGCCTGAAGCAGAGAGAGGGAGACTACCTTGGTTTCTCCCCTCCTCCTGCCTGTCAGTGCTTCCCATTGGCCAAACCCGCCAGGAAACCAGAGGGCAAAGGATCCTGGGAACTGTAGTTCTCTGAAATATAGGACAGAGCAGAGCAGGGCAGAGAATGATCGTGAGAGCAAACGAGCAAATATCCAATCTCTGGAGACGTAAGATGCTCTGAAGGGGTGGCTGCTTCTCCTACATCCACGCTAGTCCAATCCTTCCTGGGGTTCTGGGCTGTCCCAAACCTGCAGCCACTGTTTACAGCTCTTTCCACTCCCAGGGCCCAAGGATGCCCAAACCTATGATGACAGGCAGATGGGCCCGAGGCAGGGAACTCAGCACCCCCCTGAATGTCCTGGGTACATGGAGGCTGCCTGAGACCTCAGCGGAAACTGAACAGCAGCTGCTGAGGCTCATGGGCCCAGCCATCAAGCCCATGAAACACCTGGTTCCCTCATTCTCTTCACTCCCCTGCAAGAAACCTGGCCCCAAAGCTGCTGGGTCCCTTGGGAACACCCCAAGACGACGCTCCTGGCTGCAAGCATTCCTGCAGTTCCAGTGTGCCTGATTCTGCCTGCGCACTGGCCCAACATCTCCGCAGTGGCGAGTGGGCAGCAGAAAGCCCTATGGCTGGAGAGGGGCAGGAGAATGCAGACCACTCACACCTACGAGCGTTGCTGCGATGGGATGCCTGCCCACCCTGACCCCACTGGCATGGCTGGACCAGTGAAGGTCAAAGGGGAAAGTGTCAGGAATGTCTCTGGAGTGTGACAAGTCCAGCACTTCATCTACACAGGCTAAAGGCCAGGCCTTGTCACCATCCTGGAGAAAGGCCCTGCAAACCTCTCTCCAAATGTCACACCATTGCTTCTGAAGTCCCCATAATAATGATAGCTGTGTTTCTTCAGCATGAGTGAGCCATTGCTGGGCTAAGTGATTCTATAGCAGCATCTCATTTAATCCTCAAATGACTCTTGTAGAATAGGTACTATGGACATCCTCATGGGGGAGTCAGAAACTATGGGGCACCATCTCACGAAACTGTGAGGCAGCAGCAAGTGACAGTGGCAGGAAAGGAAAGGTCCGACGGAGGGAAGTGAGTGCCAGTGAGTTGGGGGGAGGCACAGGAAGGTGCTTCAGAGGAAATATCAAGATATAAAACTAATTCGTCGGACGAGACCCTCCACCCAGTGAGCGCACACTCAGGCAGAAGAGACAAAGAGGGGGACTGCTGTGGCCACACAGAAGACTTCACACCAACAGACTCCAACAAATGAAACCCTGGTTTCTGGCTTCTCTTGAAAAGTCAGTCTACCCGGCACCACTGGGCCCTCATTCTGATGTGGCAATATAGGTTGGAGCCAAGAAACTTCTTTTAGACCAGGGGTAGCAAACTCACTTTCATGGGGGCGGGGCACATTAGCCTCACAGTCGCCTTCAAAGGGCCGCATATAATTTTAGGACTGTATAAATGTAACTACTCCTTAAGAGTTAAGTGAGAGCTCGGTGCTGCCACCAGGTAGAAACGAGGTGCCAGGCCGGGTAAAACAAGGGGGAGGGCCGGATTCAGCCTGTGGGCCTTGTGTTTGCCTCCTGTATTTTAGACTGAGCATGTATGACGGGGTCCAACACAGTCCCCGCCACTCTCTAATGTCTTTCACCTGGTTCTTCCCCTGATTTGCACCACCTGCCGGGCACCAGCAGTCCAGCTTGGCTCCGAGGGCGCCTCCTCGGCCTCCCACAGGTGACTTGTAGAGCGTTGCTGCCTCCTGGTGGCAACAGCTCACATGTTCCCTCATTGCTCAGCCGTGATGCCGCTGCTGCTGATTGTGTCATTTACTCCTCTCACCCACCCTGTGAGAACAGGAATTGTACCCATTTTACAGGTGAGAAAACAGAAAGGGTACATTCAGAAATGATCAATAAGCAAACATGTGATCCCAGGGGGAACACTTTGTAAGTATATGATTGCCTAACCACTGTGCTCTACACAAAATAATATTAAATGCGAAGTATAATTGAAAAAATATCAAGGAAGAAAAAGAAGAACAAACAGGTGAGCAAGGTTACATGAATGGCTTGTTCAGGATCTTAGCCCCTCGTGATGACGCCAGGAGTGGAAACCAGCTCTTTCCTTACCCCAGTCCTGGGAGGGTGTTCGGTCTGTTCCTGTCCGCCAGGCCCTGCTGCGGCTCTGCCACTCTGGAAGCCAGGCCTGGGCGCAGGGAGCCAGGTGCTCCTCGAGATAAGCCAGAACTCTACAGTGAGTGCTTCTGGGGCCGAGTGGGGAGGACGGGGAGATGGGGGGCCTCATCGAGCTTCTTCACACACAGATAAGTGCACTTGCTTTGTGGTCAATCAGGCCTTGAGCTCAGCTCTTCCCAAGTTCTGGGCACCTTTCCCAGCACTATGCTCCTCCCCAGGCCTGAGAAGGCCTCTTTGCCCTTTCGCTTTCCCCAGTCCTACTTGGCCCACACGGCCCAGCACCTCCTCCAACAAGCCCCTGTGACTTCCTCAGCCCCCTCAGACCGCCTCCTGTCTGCCGTCCCGTGGAGCCAGGTAACTGCCTCACTCTCGTACGTCTTGCCTCTCCGGCTGCCTGGGTGATTCCTCCGAGGTAGGGTGCCGGGGTCCTGTCCCCTTGGGGATGTTCATCAGCAATATGTATAGAACATCTATCACTTAAGGCATGGGACATGTGTAGGATGATTCCAGGGGACTTGCACCCTGAAATACAACCCTGGGCCTGTCACTCCTCTGCCCCAAACCCTTTACTGCCCCTCCCCCACCCCACCCCCACCCATGGCTCTCGGAATAAAAACCAAAGCTCCTTACCATACTGACCTCTAAACCATCTCTCACTGTACCCACCAGCCCTACACATACCCTGTGTTCTAACTGCAGCATTGCAGTGTCCTGACAGACCGTGCTAGCTCTTACCTCTGGGCCTTTGCACATACCCGCCTCCCACCTGCACTCAACCCTAGTTACCCATCAGGCCTCAGCTTGGATATCACTTCCCTCAGGAAGCCTTGCTGAGCCACCAAGTCTGAGTCAGGGCTGGACCCTTGCCTGGGCTCTGGTGGTACTTGTTAATTCCCTCCCCTAGAACTTACTCGGCGAGTAACTGACTGTTGACTTGTCTGTCTCTCTCCCCAGCTGTGCACTCTGAAAGGACAGGGCCCTTCTGTCTGACTTCTTGCTACATCCCCAGCTACTGAACCCAAAGGTGTACTGTGGCCACTCTTCAAATGAACACACGAATGAATGTTTTCGTTTTCATGTATAGCAAGTGCCCCGTGAACGAATGTGGCACTGGGGCACCTGACTACCCAATGGTGAGAGTTGTACAAATTCCAGAGATGTTTTCATCTTCTCAGTCCTTTATTCCCAGTAGTTCCCATCAGTTATTCACCAAGCTAGAGCTCGTCACGACAACCAAGAATCCACTCGTCTTTCCTCTGATAGTGTAATCCTGTCTTTCTGTCCCAAACTGGGCTGGGGCCCAAAAGGTGAAAGAGGTCTCACTCTGCTGCAGGGAACAAGGGACACCCCTGTGAGTCAGTCTTCCACTCCTGTCAGTTCATAGAAGAGTGAAGTAAACAAGACACAGTGCAATTTGTGTTCTAGGCATTTGGGGGAAAAGGGCACATCACGCAGAGTCCCCTGGAGAAAACTCAGGCCATTCTCCCTCTCAGTGTGCATTTTCTCACCTTTCGGTGACTCAGCCTCCTTCTCTGGTCCGTGAGAAACCACACCATATGCTGCTGAACACTTTGTATTTTCCCCTCATGAGACCAATTTGGTTCCAAGTGGATTTCAGTTTCCTCCCTTGTGCCTGCAAGAACATCCAATTTTGTTCAGGTCCCTTTTAATGGCACTTAATAAATATACATTCTGGGACCTGACCAAGCAGACTGTTCTGCGTCAAACCACCTCCAAAGCTGCCTCTTCAAAACATCCAAGCTAGTGCAAAGCTCGGAAGTGGGGGGTGCATAGTAGCTCAGTGGGGGGGGGGGCCCATTTTCCACCCCAGGCCTCTCATCTACCACTGTGTGTCTAGGGCAGAGGTCCCCAGCCCTGGCCACACGCTAAGCATGCGGAGAGCCTTCTGAGTCCTGGAGGCCCAGGCCATGCCCCAGACCAATTACATCAGCATCTCCGGTGGGGTCCTGGTATCAGCCATAGCTGAAAGCTGCCCCGTGACCGCAGTGAGCAGGCATGCTGAGAAACCCTGAGCTGGGGTTCTAGCGCTCAGCAGGCTCTCAGTCCGTATTGTGGAACCACAAATGGGTTTCTTATTTTATTATCTGCTCTCCTATGCTTCCTATTTGTATCAGCAATCTGAGAAGGAAAGAGAAAGGAAAATGAGTCAAGAGCATCTTGTAAAGTGAATTTGGGGCTGGGAAAGGGCTTGTGGAGTTGAGTTTCCCTGGCATTATGCAACCTTCATGCTTTCACAAGCCCTGAGGAGGTGAGCTACACGCCATCTGACACAGTCCTGTGTGTATATTCTTAAGAGCCCCCTAAAAGCCAGAGCTGACAGCTATAGGCACTACGGGTGTGATAACACAGAGCTTAGTCTCAAGTGACACCTGCTTTTACACACTTTCTAACTTGGGTTGGCCCCAAGTTTTGTCATCTGTATTAAAGATCATGCTGGGTCTCTTTGTTCTCCTATGGGTCTTGTAATTATCTGAGCCCAAACCAACATCCTACAGATGATTCAACAGTGGCTGCACCCAAAATTGTCCCCGTGGGTCAGTTTTTTATGGAGGGGTTTCCATTTCCAGGTTCTAGAAAGGGATGACAAGTTCAGGGGGTTGGCTACCTGGAGAGCAGCACTGAGAAGGAGCCTGCAGTAGATCCTAGGGTGACGGGAAAAGACACCATGCTGACGAATGGCATTGGCCATGGGCATGGGGAGGGGCAACGTGAACACTAAGGCTGGGGCCAGCCTGCGACCACTTCCAGCACAGCCTGCTACCAAGAGCAATGTATGTTTATATACACTTCACACTTTGCCGGGAGCTTCCACATCCTTACCCTCATGTCATTCATGACACAGCCCTGTGAGTCAGGTCTGTGTGCATGGGAAGCAGGAGGCTCTCTCCTGTGTCTCAGGTCCCACAGCCAACTGACACCATGGCCACTGTTGCCCCAGGCCCCTGGTGGCCTCCTGAAACCACCTGGGGTGCCCCTGGCTCCCCTTCTTCCAGACACAGGAAGCCAAGCCTGACCTCCCTGCCCACCAGGCCTGTGCTCCCCTGCTTCACAGTGTTCTTTGTGATTTACATGCCCTTTAGCCCCTGGTTCAGAGAACACAGCAACAGTATACAGACACTTGGCAACAGCCTCACACCCCTACCTAATACACCCTCAAAATCTCCTCTTCCCTGGAACAGGCTGCATTTACCTACACACATCCTAAAACTGTGGCTTGGCCACACCTACTCCCAGGCCCAGGCTAGAGTTTCCTGGGAACCTCTCCACTGTCCTGACGAGCTTGCTCCCCCACTAGAGCGGACTCTCGAAGGATCGCTGCCAAGCATAGCTCAGCTCCCAGCACGGAGAAATGAAAGACGACTGGCCAGCCGTGGTGCCTCCTGATGTAGGAAGTCAGCCATCAGGGCGGGCAGGTCTGGGCTCCTCCAGTGCCCCTCCCTGCACCCACACAGCAGGCAGGTAACATCTGGGTGAACTTCTTTGTGGGCAGGTCCAGATGGGGGCACAGGTAGGCCAGGCTGTGAGCTACAGCAAATCCTTAACGACTTGACCTACCAGTCAGGGTGCTCTGACTCCAGCTCGGAAGCACCTCTTTGCGGACACCTTGAGCTGTCCTGATTGAAGCCTTTCGAGCCCACCCACACCGGCATTCTGCAAGGCATGCCCACCTCTTCCACTGCCTGCTGGGAGCCCTTCGCTCCCACCCCGCTGCCCCCACCATGGCCTGACCTCCCCCTCCATCCTGCTTCTCTTTGCCTCTCTTCCGTCCGTCTGTCAGGGGCTCACATGCCCCCGATCCTCCCCCCCTTGACAACAGCAGCTCAGCTCCGAGAAGGGCTGCCTAGGAGGGCAGACTCCAGCCCCACGGTGTGGGGCTCAGGGCCCTGGCCAGGAAGCTGGAAGGCACGTATCCCTGCTGTCCGTCTGCCTCCACGAGGCTCCATTCCGGGTTCCCCTCCTTGTCCTGAGCCTCCAGGACAGTCACGGGCTGGCCCGCCTGCAGACTCACTTCATGGCTGCTTCTGGCCACAAAGGGGTACACTGCGACCACCTGAAACACAGGGGCGACACAGCGGTGGGCCCGGGCAGGGAGACAGACAGAGAGGCTGTGGACCCAGATCCCTCCTCACAGTTCGTCCTTGTGGCTGGACAGTGTCACCCCCCAACACTTCCCACCACTTCCTTTCTGCAAATAGCTGCGTCCACTCCTCCCACGGAGGTGTGACGGGCTACATCTAGTGCTCGGCCTGTTTTTGATGATCACGGATCTGTGATTCCATTTGCCCCATTTTTCAGATATGGAGACTGAGGCTCAGAGAAGTTAAGGAACTTCTTCATCACACAGGTTGTTTTGAATGTGTTCACAGGGTTGTGCAGCCATGACTACTGACTAATTCCAAAACATGTTCAGCCCTAGAAAACCCACACCAGCTGGCGATCACTCCCAGCCCTCCTGCCCCCGGCCCCTGCCAGCCGCCGATCTTCCTGTCTCTGTGCATTTGCCCATTCCGAACACTTCGTGTAAATGGCATCATACAAGACTCAGTCTTCTGTCCCTGACTACATGTGGTGGCACATATCAGCACTTTCTTTCTGCGGGTCCCACCCCTAGCCAGGACACTGGGATGGCCACCAATCAAGGCCTCAGCCTCACAGGGTACTGCCCCCTCACCCCCAAATCAGAGAAAAATCAAAGCCCCATTCTAGGTGGCTATGGGGAGGCAAGCCCCCATAACTCACTCCCAAACTCACCTGGGTCCTGGTTGGGACAGATGGGACCCGGGCTGAGGTGGGCTCTGGTGTTAGATGTCGGAAGTCCTCTCGAGGCCGTGCCTGCTCCTTGAGCTTCTCCTCACTGGGGATGACGTGGTACAGCTCCAGTTTCCCAGCTGGCACATACCCCCGATGGCCTAGGGACATACAGACCATGAATCTGGCTGCAGGCCCCCTTCTCCGTCCCTTTAGTGACAGGAGATTGCTACCATGCACGGGTACCAATGCCTTCAACACAGCCTCACAGCACTAAGGAGCACCTGCAGAGGACATCTAGGAACCTCTCAGCCCCCATCCCTGCCCTCTCTGTCTCTACCATCTGCTTGCACACCCCCAGTGACAGGGAGCTCATTGTCTACCAAGGCAAGCCCTTGGTTTTGAACAGCTCTGGCGGAGAGAAGTAGTTCTTCCTCGGTCTGGGATGAAGACGGCTTTCCCGGTGCTGGCACCACAGCCCCTCCCCTGAAGTGGCCGCCCAAGCAAGGCTGCTTCCTCGCCCCAGGGCAGCCTTCCCCACGAGGCGGAAATTGCTTTTCTCTTCTCCAGGTGTCCCCGGTTCCTTCTCATGCAGCGGCTACTCCTGTGCCGTTCTGGCTACCGTCATTACGAGCGGCCACCCCTTCCTGAGAGCACGCCGGGTGCCAGAGCTGGCACTATCTAGTCTGCACGTCAACTCTCCATTTTACTGCGGGCCAGCCGAGCTGGAGGGGCTCAACGCCCCTCCAAGACCGTGCAGTGAAGGGTGGCGTTGGGCTCCAGGCCCATCCTTGCACCCCGGGGGCCTTGCTTTAATCCCCATTTGGCTGTTCTCAACGTGACTTAGAGACTGCTCTTTTGTGATTTCTGCAGGATTTATACTGTTAGACTAATGTTTTCATAGACTCACTGTTTAAAATGTAGTCTTGCACTATACAATAATATGAATAAAATCATGGGTTTATGTACTAGTTATATTTTTCTAATATACATTAGTATCATTAGTAATAATTATAATAAACTCTCTGGTTGGGGAGACAACTCTCCACGGGTCCCCTCTCAGTAACCCTGTGTGACCTTCATCCCGTGGGTCACGCATCTTCTTTGGAAGACAGTCCACTGGTCCATCTCCTCCTTGGTTCAAGGTGCCACTTGCCTCCTGCCTGGTTACACTGGGGCACCCAGACCTGAGTGCCACACCCCAAGGGCGTGACCAGTGCAGAGGGGACCAGACAACGCCTCCCTCATTCTGGACATCAGACATCTGTCCATGTAGCCAGGATCCAAGAATCCCTTCTCTGTGTATGTCCTTCTCTCAGGTTGGTGCCGAAGTTCTGTCCACCCCAAGGGTCTGTGAGGTCCCCAAGGCAGGGTTTTTGTCTTCCTTGCACAGCACCTAGCACACAGTAGGTGCTTGATCACGGCTGTAGCAATGCAAGACTGAACGCCTGTTTTTGACATTTCCCGCACGTACGAAGCTGCCTGTGCTCCAAGCCCTGTGCTTCCATCAGGGCTCACTCCCACCTTGGATTTGCATAGCCAGACTCTGGCCCACACAGTTTGCCCAGAGGGAGGGGAAGGGCCCACAAGTCCTACGTACCCCCAGTATCCACCAGCCAGCGGCTTCTATTGCCTTTGGTGTCCTGATTTTGAAGGAGGGCCACGATTTGGCCCCGTGGCAATGTCAGGTCCAGAGTTCCAGCCCCGCTGATGTTGCCTGTCACCTGGTACAGCTTTCCTGGGCCATACCTGCTCAGGAGAGCCTGCACCTGGCGTTCAGCACCCGGGAGCAGTGGCTGGGGACAGACACAGACAGGCGCTTGAGTTAGGGCGTCAAAGCTGGGGCCAACATCTGGCCAACAGTCGCCTAACAGACAGCTGGATCCGATGAGAAACACATGCAATTAGTATCTATGAGCCTCTCATCTAATTCTCTAAAATCCCTCCAAGGCCTTTACTTCTTCAGTTTTCTAAAATTTTAATTCAAGTTCTGAAACTTGCTCAGCTACAAAACTCCAGGGCCGAGCTCTAAATTCTGCCCATAGCACCTAGCTAAGTTGGTCCCCACAGAAATGCCTTGCTCCGGGCTTTCAACCCCCATAGACTGTGAGCTTCGTGTGGGCACCGGGCCTCACTCATCAGGCCTCCCAGCCAGCAGGGGGCAGACACAGGCAGACCTCCCACATGCGGGAACGAGGAAATGCTAGCTTTCTCTCTGGGAGTCTCCCATCCACAAGTATTGTATTTACTGAGCACCGGCTGTTAAGAAGGCATGGTAAGCCTTGTGAACGACGTAGCAGAAGCACAGGAGAGTGTTGCCCTGGTGGAAACTGCCACCAAGGTGGGGAGAATGATTCAGCTCAACCAAAAATCTCCTGCCAGGACCTTTGTTTTTCATTCACTGCTTCCAGCAAAAGTATCAACAAGAAGGAACTTGGGGGTGAATGTCCCTTTTTTAAAAAAACAAAGAAGAAACTAAAAATGTTGAATATAGGTTTTCTCTCCTGCATATTTATATTTGCCATATTTACGTGGTTAGTTATTTCTGGGTGGGAGGTGCTGGGTTAGGGAGACAGACAGAGGTGCCCTGCAGAGACTCTCCTGTTACCCATACTCCAAAGGGTTCCTCAAGTCAGGATCGAGAACCAGGAGAGCCTAAGGCTCCTAAAAAGGAGGCGGAGAGATGAGGCAGCTTTCCTTCAGACCAGTGGTGTTAACGTGAGTACAAAAGCCAGCAGTGTAGACAGCATGGGCCTTCTTTCTCAAGCCTGGCAGCCGCTGCCCGGTGCAGAGGACAGCAGCGTGCTCTGGGTGGGCCACCTCCCTCCTGTAGGCTCTGTATGTACCCTCGGCCAAGTAAGTCAGGAACTTATGGGAGGTGTGTGTGGCGGTGGTGGGGAAGGTGCGGGGGGGGGGGGGGGGGGCGTCTTTTCTTCCAATTTTCAACGCACACTGGGATTATTCTGTTCCCATTTGTTTCTTCCTTTTGTTTTTCCAAGTCTTCTCTTTTTTGTGCAGTCCACAAGGGTTGCTTTTCCAATAAGAAAAATGTTGCTTTGTCACAAGTACAAAGAGAGAAGAGATTCTCATGACTCATTTGAGTGCCTGTTCCGTTCTTCCTCGTCTGCACACTTCCTCTCCCCAGGCGGCAGGGCCGCGAGACCTCTGCCGGGGCAGCCTCCCGTGAGGGAGGACGTGGGGGCAGGGGAGCACCGGCCCCAACGTGTCTCTCTGTGCCTCTGGGCCCCCTTTTTCCTGCTGGGGAGCCCTGGGGCTGTCTCCTGGCCCTTCACGTCACATCTCACGTGGGACTGAATACACAGTTTCCGTTCTCTCAGACCCTGGGAGCCCCTTTTCCCTTCAGCTCCTTCAGTTACTTTTAAAATATACTCCACATAGGTAGAGTCTTCATGCGGACTGCCTGGAAGATACCCTGTCCTTACACATGAGAGAATCTAACTTTACCAACAAAAAGCACTTGGCCATCCAAAGTTTTGTAAACTATTGTGGAGCTGAAATACTGTCTTTTACAATAAAAAGTCCCATAGCACACAAACTTTGTTATAAAATAAGTAAGTCACAGGGATGTAGTGTACAGCACTGGGAACATACTCTATAATACTGTAATAACTTTGTGCAGTGACAGATAGTCTTACCACAGTGACTGTATATATATATATATATATATATATATATATATATATATATATATATATATCCTAAGGCACATAAATGTTGAATATACCTGAAATGAATATTGTATGTCAACTCTAGTTTAATTTTTAACAAATTTGCCCTGGTTGGTGTGGCTCAGTAGATTGAGTGTGGCCTGTGACCCAAAGGGTCACTGGTTCAATTCCCAGTCAGGGCATAAGCCTAGGTTGTGGGACAGGTCCCCAGTAGGGGGTACTCAAGAGGCAACCACACATTGATGTTTCTCTCCTTCTCCCTTCCTTCCCCTCTCTAGAAATAAATAAATAAAATCTAAAAAACAAAAAAGAAATTCAATACTGAAAAGAAAATTGAAGTGACTTCTTATTCAAACCTGATTCATCCTGAATGCTGGAAGAAAGTACTGTGCGAAGATGATGAGAAAATGATACATTTTGATGGAAAATATGAAGAAGTTCCAGGTTTGGGGATGTGAAATGCCACTTGCTCATTATTCTGCCAAATTTTGCTCAGTATTAAAGTGTTTGGGTTTTCTTATTCCTGACCCAAGAGGTCCGTTCTGCTCTGATGCTTACTGGCCATAAAGGGCATACGGGGGGGGGGTGCAAATCCCACCCCCCAGCTCTCAGAGAGAAAGGAGAGAGGGAAGGGGGGATGTTTCCATGGTAATGGGAAACACTGAAAACAGAAAAGGAAGAAGAAACAGGGGATTGAACCTCGCCACAGGGTGAGGTGAAAGGGGTCACTTACCTGTACAGTGGGAGGTGGCAGCACTTTCTCAAAGTTCTCTTGAAAGGAGCGAAGCTGGCGACTGGTCTGGCTGAGAACATCCTCCACCAGTTTCCTGAAGGCTGGCTCAGAGAGCTGGTGGTGGGGTAGCTGGGTAGGGACAGACACCGTCAGCCCACATGTAAACCCAGGCGAGTTAAGATGGGCCAGCTGTCGGTTTTGTCTGCCTACTGACGCACTTTCCTCTGAGAGCACGTCTTTCTCCAGGGGGCCAGTAGGACAGCAGAACGACCTGTCACAGTGCTCTAAGCAACAGAACTGGCAGTCATGGCATCCCTTCTCCCAGCCACCATGATCAGGCCAAGGAGTGGACAGTGGACTCGAACAGGCCAATCAGAAGCCTCCCATCAGATTTAGGACGTGAAGGCTGTGACTGACAGGGCCGTTCTTCCTTTGGATTCTGAGCTGTAAAGGTAAGTACTCGGACTGTTGGGAGTCATCTCTCCCACCACACAGAGAAAGGCCTGCCTGAGAATAAAGCCAATCCGAAGAGGGAAGCAGAGCTAGAGATGGAGTGAAAGTCAAGCCCTGATGACATCATTTGCAATGAACACAGCCAGGCCTCGAGCTAATCCCACAGTCTCATCAGGCCACACAGAAGTGAGTGGGACCGCAGAGCTGACAGAGACGGGTCCCCTCTGCTTGTCTTCAAATTCACTGCTCTCGGTCCTGATTTGGAGCCTCTCTTCCCCTCCCCAGGTGAACCGAGGTTCTACTATGCAGGTCTTTCCCGGGCTCCACAGGATGGGACCAGGGGAAAGGGCCCTGAGACAGAGACAAGGAGGCCCCGACTTCCTGCACTACAGGGCCAGCCGAGAGCGGAGGACACCCTCTTTCTGCTTTCATGAGGTAGGCCTCCCCTACGGGCATCAGCAGCACTCCCTGGCACCCTCCTACCCCAGCCTACGTACAAGGGGCTTGGGTAGCCCTGGAGAGAACACTAGCGGGTGGGAGGAGAATGAAAAGATCATCTCATCAGATCTGCTCTCGGCCTTCGGGAAAGAGGAATGCTTCTTCCCGCAACTTGGTTCAGGCCTAACTGAGGTCAAAGAAGAAGAGCCCATAGTCCCAGCCTCCTCAACGAGGAGAAACAGCTTCTTCCATCACCCCAGCAGAAGGCAGGCTCTGAAAAGTGCTAAGCAGAAGCACATCCTAAGGGCTGCTGGAGAACAGAGGATGAGGAGATGGGGGTCTCCCACCTGGGGACAGGGATTCTGAGACCTCCATGGACATCTGTCACATTTTGGGGAGCTCCTACCACATGCCAGATACTGTGAAAGGCATGGGGGATAATGGGGAGGGGCACCCAGACTGAGAAAGGAGCCTGGACCAATGGACCAGAAGTGGTGTGCACTGGAATTGGGGGCTACAGGTGCAGAGTGGGCTGTAGACTGAACAGGTGCTGGAGGGGGAATTTGAGAGGGGTTTTCACGCAATGAACTAGAAGGGGAGAGCTGGGCTGGGGAACAAGAAGCACAGGAGACAGCATGTGGTACGTGGAGTACTGAAGCTGGTCCAGCCTCGGACCCACGGGCCGTGCAGCTCTGATTCTGACATCAGGGAGAGATCCGAAAGCAGCTAAGAATCCTCTCCTATACCAACCTCAGCTTTCAAAATTCCAAAAATACAGTGCACTTGGAGTTTCATCCAACCCTCTCTGCGGCCTATTTATGCTTTCAGCAGATTGCTCCTTTTATGGGCTGTTGAGTGTTTGGTCCAGAGCCCAGACTCTGGAGTAGTATTGGCAGGGTTCATTTCCCACTATTAGCTATGTGGCCTTGGGCAAATTGCTTAACCTCTCTGTGCCTCGGCATCCTGTCAAATATGGATAATAATAAAACTTTCTCTGTGGGTTGTTTCAGGAGTCAGTGAGATCATGCACAGAAGGTGCTCCAAACAGGTACACAGTTAGCACCCACGGGGAAGCGGCTGCTAAAAGTGGTGGGAATCACAGAAACACCGGCAGGGCACATTTACTCCTGACCGTGCAGGAGGGTCCTTGTCTCTGCCACCAACATCTACTCTGGCCCCGGGAACAGCCCGGAGTTTTGCCATTTCCCCAGCAGAGCCTCCTCTGCTTCTGCACTCCAGAGCCTGGGAATGACCTGGAGTCCCAGTGCTACCCTTGCTTTCAAGGGCTGGCTCCACTAAAGGAAGGAGAGCGGGCATGGGAGAGATCCACAAGGTCCCCACAGCCTCCTCCTGAGCACCTCAGGGACTGTTTGGAAGGCCCAACCTCCCTCCAAGCCCCTGCAAAAGAGGGCTGAAGGGGTGCAAGGCTATCCCCCAGAGGTGCCCAGTCCTAGAGGTCTTACCTGAGCCAAGCTGCCCTCTGCCCTCTGTAACACTTGTTCTGCAAGGTCCCTCTGGAGAGCCACAAATGTGTGCAGAATCTGGCCCAGCCACTGCCTGGCCAGCTGGTTAAACTGCGGGAGCTCAGCCACCAGCAGGGAATTGAGCGCCTGGTATGTATGGCGGGCCTCCTCCTCCTCATAGGTCACGCTGCCCACCTCCAGCAGCTTCTCTTCCAGGCGCTCAAAGTCCAGTAGTTTGTCCAGACGCTTCTTGATCAGGTTCTGAGGGCCAGCTAGGGCTTTGGCCAGGTTGCATAGTGGCTGCCACACCAGGCCTTCCAGCCGCTGCTTCTGTGGGGAGAGGTTAGCTTGGGAGTCCAGGAAAGAGGTGGCAGCCAGTAGGCAGTGGGAAAGGGGGCTATGGAGGTAGGCAGGCCTGGGTTGCAGTCCGACCCTCACTGACTAGTTATGACCTCTAGCAGGCTACCTAACCTTTCTGGGCCTCGATGTGCCCATCTGAAAAATAGGGAGAGTCCAGGTAATGAGATTAACAGAACTCCTAGAACAGGATAGGTCATTTCATATGTCACTTCTTAATATCTTTACTGTGCACAGATCTTGAAAAAGGTTTTGTACACAGTGGTGGTCAAAAACATAGACTTTAGGGCTCAGATTCAAGCTTGCCACTGACCATCTGAATAACATGGGCGGTCACCCCTCTGAGCCTCAGCTCTCATTTGCCAAATGGGGCTATAAATAGTATCTGCCCTGTAAGCCATGTTGTGAGGATTAAATGAGGTGAAGACTGTGAAGGGCTCAGCTCGGTGCCTGGCAGACAGTGAGGCTCAGCAAACATTAGCTGGGGCTATATGTATCAGTGAAACATGCTAATAATAACCTCTGCCTGCTGACTACCAGGGTGGTCCTGGACGTGACAACCGCGTGAAGGGCCTGACGTCTAAACATTATCTGTATAGGTCCTGTCACCTGCCCGACAAAGGGAGAAGGAAAAATTCCACTCACAAACTCGGGGAAGGCCTGGAGCTGCAGGTTTCTCGCCAGGTTGCAATATTGCCCCACAGGCCCCTCAGGAATGTCCAGGTCATATTCCTGAGGCCGGAAGCGCAGGAAAGCCTGGACCAGGGCAAATGAGGGACAGAAAGCCACAGTCTGTCACAGCCACCTCGCCCCTGCATCCCGTCTGCACACGGCCTGTTCCGCCCTCAGACGACTTGGCTGACTGAAAAGTTCTTCCTGACTAAGCTGACATCTTCCTCCCTGTTCCAGCACTTCCCCAAATCACACATCTGCATACCTCTCACGATGTTTTTGCCACGTCCATTTCTACATGGTCTATTAATACTTTCCTTTAAATCAGCTAAGTCTTCCTATTTAAATCAATGCATTTATCTACAAGAAAAACACCCCATGACACTACCATAAAGATAAAATGAGTAATAATTGCCACAAATAGGCATGTGAGAATAAGGGCTATAAAAACAAAGTTGTTAAGTTCTGTCTGGACGTCATCACCTGCTGATTGCTCCCAGCCTGAGCCCCGCTATGCCTGCATTAAAGACATGCCAGCCAAAGAGGCTTTTCCTGGCCTCAGAGGTTAACAGAGAAAATCACTTTGTCCCTGTGGGATTCCATGTTCTGTCATCTAAACCCTGCATCTAGGGGAACACAGCCTGAAAGCTTCCAAATATTCATCCTCCTGCGCAAAGCCCGACATGTCTCTCCCATGCCTCTGGGTTCTCTCTCTCCAGCCCTGAGTGATTTCCCCTTCCAGCTGCCTGTGCCGGTCAGATCCTTCCCCTGGGGAGCCCGGGATGAAGCAGGAGCAAGCAGGGCGACCTGCCCGCTCAGAGGAGTGTGCAACGGCCACCTCCCTCCTTGTATACACACTTCCGACAACGCCACCCCAAGTGCTGTCATCCAAACAGCCCATTATCGTATGACCGAGTTGGTTTGTGCAAACGGACATGACGGAGAACCAAACCACGTAAGAGGGATGAAGTAGACGGGATGAGTCAGCATCGATGACAAGAACAGGGGGGGAGTTTGGCACAAGGCAAGTGACATGCTGGATGGGAGTGCAGCCTGCCGTTCCAGTGGGCTGAGTTCGGCTTATAGAAATACATTTCCTTGGGACTGAATAACATTTCCATTTCCATTTAATTAAATTTCTAGTTAATTAGTTGCTCACATGAACCCATCTTGAGATTTCACCTAAAAGTCTGAATTTCCAGGTTTCTTTTCTTCCTTAAAGTCAGAAGTGGCCGCACTGGGCTCAAAGCAGCCACTCTCCCGAGTCAAGTACTAACCGTCCCTGTAGCTTTTACTCATTCACTCATTCATTCATTCATTCCATCACTCAAGTTCCAAATATTATTGCTGTTTATTTAGCTACCAAAAAGTCCCATGAACAGACACGAGGCTTTATACACATGCACATTTCACTCAGTGGGTGGCCCCTTTGTGCACCTGAGTTTGTCACCTGCTCTGGGTGCCAGTCTGGCAGGGTCCTTCTGAGGACTCTGACCTCAACCCCTGAGAGCTCAGTGGGCTCAGAAGCTGCCCAGTGACCTGTGGGCTATGCAGTACTTGCCTGTGGGTCCTCATCCAGCCCGTGGGTGACCCCCTCCCTTTGGTTCCTGCAGCTGGTACCTTTACCAGCCTGTCAGATGAGCCTGCTTGCCTCCTGCCCAGGAAACCAACTTTGCCTCACCCATGATGAACTTCAGGGTCCTCACCTCCAGATTGTGCAGGTAAGTAGCCACGTTGTTCTTCAGCTCAGTCACACACAGTGACACCCAGTGGAACTTCTCTTCTAAGTCATCAAATTCCTTGTCTTCCGTCTGAGAGTAAAGTTATGCTTGTGAGGGCCGAGAATATCCACATGGGGGCAGTGTACACCACGTAGCTGCATCCCCAAGTCTTCAGTGAGGACCACCTTTCCACAGCCCGGCCCATCAGAGCCAGTTCCTCCAGCCTCAAAGCTGAGTCGGACAGTTAGAGGCAGTGAGTGTGGTTTAGTGGTTTTGTATTCAGACCACGGGATCAAACATACAAGCATAAAAGTCCTGGTTCACTTGCTTCCAAGCTGTGTGACCTTGGGCAAGTGTTTTACCCTCTGGGTTTCTCATATGCAAGGTGGTTACAGTAGGAACACCTACTTCATTGTGTGGATCAAGTGCCGCCTGGTTCAAAGTGAGTACTTGATCAACCTCAGCTGCTACTGGTAGCCATCACAGCTGGTCCCATGCCCAGACCCAGAGATTAGCTCTCCTGTCTGTGTCAGGAGGCCCCAGAGAGAGGAGCACAAGGTGCAGTGGAGAAAGCCCTGTGCAGGCTCCTCAGAATCGTGTGGGGTGCCCGTGCTGCCTATACCTGGCTATCGATGCTGCAAGTCACTTCCCTCCCTTAGCCTCCATTTTCTCAGCTCTGAGAGCCACCTAAGCCCCTCGCCCCACCCACTGCACAGTCTGGCTTGCCCCTTGGCATGGCTAGGGTGTGACCCTTCCTCCTGCCCATGCTCACCTTGGGCACGAGCCCCGCCTCCTGCTTTAGCAGCTGGCTCAGCCGTGTGGTTTTCTTGGAGAGGGGGTGTGTGTTTATTCGAGCCAGCCGCTCCCGGAGGGTCAGCTGCTCCACCTTGGTGTACTTGGAGGCTGCACCAACAGAGAGGGATGGTGTGGGATGGAAGGTGACCCAGGGAAGTAAGGATCCAACCCTCCTGGCAAGGCACGTGAGTGGGGGGACCTCTTCTCACACATCAGGGCCTCACCCATTCGAAGGGTGGTGTGTCAGAGAAGACAAGCACGGGGCTGAACCCCGTGTGTGAACACTCTTCGGTGTGAGCCCTGGCTGAACAGCCTGCTTGACTTTGGCAATCACCGCCTCTTGGGTCTCAGTTTCCTTATCTGTAAATGAGGCCAGCCAACTCACAGGGTGGCTGGAAAGATCACCTAAGATGATGGGTCGGGACCTACTTTCTAAAAAAGAACCCAAGTGAGAGGTGATTTACCTGAGGTTCCTCAGTCACTGTCAGCCTGACCAAACTGGGACCATACTTGTCCACTCCTGGCTCAGGGTTTTCTACAGACGGCCTGACCCCAGGACTGAGTGTGAACCTGGCTCTGTTCCATACCAGCTCTGTGGCCTGGAGCACAGGACTAAAGCTCTGTTTACCCAACTGTGAAATAGAACTAACAGTACCAACCTCAGAGGGCCACTGTAAGGATCAAACAAGATAATAAATGAAAAACTTATCAGAGTTAGCCCTTAGCAAACATTAGCTAAATTTCATTGTTATACAGCCTTGGTTGTGCACATGAGTTTCCCTGTCCTTGGGACACTGGTTCATTTTTCAGACCTTTCTGTTTTAACAACCTGAGAGGCAGGATCCCCACTTACCCTCCTCTCTGCTCAGGTATATACGAAGCCCTTTCCTCTCATCCCCAACCCCTACCTCCATATTCATTTATCCTCCAAAGTACAGCAGCCATGTTGTTTGAATGGTGATTTTACTTTAGTCCAAGGGATGCACGCCACAGTGATTGGTTCAAAGAAAAGTACATAACTCAGGCCTAAGCCAATCAGCTCACGGCATTCCCCTAATCAAAGTTCAGAGTAAGCACATCACCCAACTGGGTCCTGTCAGAGTGAAGCTCCAGTTTAATTTTTATGGCTCAGAGGAGAAAGGCCCTGTTTTATCTTCGAGAGTGTGGTATGCCGAGGTGCATCTTAGAACAGCCAGCCTGAAGATAAAGGTGACACAGTAAAGATCGTAGAGAAGAGACTTATAGGGAAACTGAGCCAGCACCCTGATCAAACCCTACCTAAGACCACTTACCTCTGGACTTATGGGTCCATGACTTCCTACATGCCCTTTATTGGCGAAGCCACTCTGAGATGAGTTTTTGTAACTAGAAGTATGCTCACTGCTGTGTCCTCTAAATTGCCCAAGTCCTTACCCACTTCCTTGCGCCTCTTGTACTCATTGATGTTGATGTTCACAGCCTGGAGGGCCGAGGTCGCCCTCTGGAGAACAGGATAGGCACTGGCATCAGGGAGTGTGTTCTCCAGAATTTTCTGCAGCAGCAGTTGGTACTTGGTAATCCTCTGCAGAGGGATGACCAGTAAGAAACTGAGGCCTGAGGGTCCAGCTTGTGGCCTGAGGGAGAAGGCTGGAATTAGGCAGGCAAAGCCTGCCCTTGGGGGCTCCAGGGAGCCCGGGCTTCTAGTTCCAGCTCAGCCACTCAGCTCCCTGAGTGTTCTCCAGCCAGTCACTTCCTTCTGTGGTTCTGAGTTTCCTCGCCTGTCATTCGTGAGTTCTAGAAGTTGGATGGATGCTGCTAGGTCTCATCTTACACCTGTTCTGGGCCTTGGTTCCCCACCTGTTCCAAATCTGAGGGCCAGTGCTCGGCCCTCAGTTCCCTCGCTCACTCAGCAACAAACCCAGAGGACCACTCCCTCTCTCTGGAAACACTTTCTTCTTTTGGCCCCAGAGATGCCTTCTGTCCTTCTTATACTCCACATCACTGTCTTGGCCAACTTTGCAGGGCTCCCTCCCATGCTGGGGGGGTCTGGGGCCTCCTCTCCTCCCTGTCCACCCACTCTCATACCTACTTCACTTAGTCCTAAGGCTTTAAACACAGCCCGAACCAGATCTTTGCTTTCTACTTGTGTTCGGAGCTCCGGACTCACATGGTCAACTGCCTACCAAACATCTCCACTCGGATGTGTCCCAAGCACAGTTCTCCAGATGGGGCAGCCACAGGGCATTTCACTGAATAAAATGGTTCTGCTGCTTTAAAAAAGAAAAGCTTTTCAAATGACAGGAGCTTAATGTCTGGAGATGCACTTGAAGTATTTAAAGGAAAAAAGTCATAACAGTTGTATTTTCTTTTAAACGGTTCAGCATAAAAATCGATGAAGCAAACAGCAAAAGATTAACACTGGTTCATATCAGGTGGTGAGTATGTAAGTGTTCACTGCATCCTTTTTTTCTATAGGTTTGAAATTTTCATTAAAAAAGTAAAAAAAATAAAAAGCATACAGAAACTAATGGTGTCAGGGTCTCTTCCAGATGTGCCAGTTATGAATGGGTGACTATTTCTCCGATCCCCTTCATGATGACAACTGGTATTTGCAGAGGGAGTGTGCAAGTAGGTGGCACCTAGGACATGTAGGGTCTCTCCAACAGTTGTTCATTCATCATGACCAGTAGCCCTCAGGCCTGGCTTTTGAGAAACCCACAAGGGTCCAAGTCTCCACAAAGACTCACAAACGCTGCTCAAGACCGTTCTCTTCCCACCTCTCTATGGTACCCTACGCTCTTGCTCTTTGCCTCAGGAAAAATCTCCAGACCAAATGGTCAGGAAAGATCAGCTATGAGGCTAAAAATAGGCAGAGCAGGTGGGAGTGCCATCCCGAGCTGCAGGGAGTGAGGCGGCAGGGCTGCAATCCGACCGTCAGGACACACCTACGCCGACCATCTGCCCTTCCTAGTGCCTGGCTGACCATGGCAGGGGAGGTGGATGCAACTGCCAGGTATTGGCAAAACTCTGTCCTCTGGGCTTACTTTCCATAGGAACAGGCCAACTGCCTCCTGGGGACAACTGTCACCTCACAAATCAGAGGGCAGGGGCTCTTCAAACAGATAATCACATTTCTTCTCCATAATTATCAAGGCATCACACTACAGAGTGACAGCAGACTGTGACACATACAGCTTTTCTCGTGTAATCTGGAGAAAAATTTGCATGCAGCCTTTCGGATAGGTAACAAAAATGACAACATAATACCTGAGCTAGAGGAATGCAGGGAAGCAGGCCCGTTGGTGGGAGAATCGACTGGTGAGATGGCTTAGAAAAGCAGTTTGGCAGCATATGAAGTGCTCATCCCTTTGTTCCATCAATCCGACCCCAGTCATCTATCCTCAGAAACATCACCTCAACCAAAGCAAGGTGGAAACTATTCAGCAACTATATTTACGACAGTAAAATACTGGCAACAAACCAAATTACCAACAGGGTAATGGTTAAACCATAAACCTGCCCTGGAAAAGAACTCTGTAGCTATTAAATAACTATTTGAATTTGCTTGTGCATGCATAAAGGAACTCTGCAAAGATCCATAAAAAAATTTAAAGTGGCTGCATTAACTTTGGGATGAGAGTTGTAATTGAATGGGTCAAGAGGCAGCGTTGAGGAGATTTTCCTTTTTTACTGTATAAATTTGGATGTTTTAAACATTTCAAACCATGTAACTATATTACCCATTCAAAACTGTAATTAGATTTTTTGTAATTTAAGAATTTATTCATTTATTTTTAGAGAGGAGGAAGGGAGGGAGAAAGAGAGGGAGAGAAACAGCAAATGTGTGGTTGCCCCTCACACTCCCCCCCAAATGGGGACCCGGCCCACAACCCAGGCATGTGCGCTGACCAGAAATTGAACCAGCGACCTTTCAGTTCACAGGGCTGCACTCAATCCACTGAGTCACACAAGCTAAGGCTAAAAATTTTTTTCTCTACACATCTCTACCTGAGGCTTCCATCCACTGGTGTCAGCTCTGGCTGTGTTGCCACCCAGGGCCGTTCTGATCCTTTTCCATGGGGCAGGACGGCAGCCACCTGCAGAGAGGCCTCCCCAGGTGATACACACCTGCTTCCCAACACTGTTGTCACAGCATGTGGCCCCCCCAACCTCACTGCCATTCCTATGGGAGTCGTGAAAGCTGTACACCAAATGTTTCTGGTTTCCCACTTCCTGACTCAGGGCAAGACAGCACACCCTGCCTCCCAGTATTTGGATAAAGCTACTGGATTAGTACTGGCCCATGAATTGTGGGAAGCAATAGCTATCATTTCCAAGCTGGAGCATTTGGTTACCAGTGTTGAACCCTCCAGAGCTCTTTTTCCTTTTGCCCCAATTACTGGCAATATTCCAGACAGGGACTGCCACCAACTTGGGTCGCAGAGTGAGGATGATGAAAAGAGCCCCAAGCCACCCCACAATGGAGCAAAGGAAGGTGTAAGCCTTTTTGGTTTGAAGCCACTGAGAATTGGGAGTGTTTGTGTCTGTAGCCTGACTGAGACACTCTGGAAGTGGTGCGAGCATCACCAAATGGAGGTGAGGCCTTAACAGTCCATGACCTTGGGATCACTGCAGCAGGAACAAATGCCCACTGGTCTTTCTACTCACACCACGGCCTCAATGATGCTCTGGATCTGCCGCTGCAGCTCTGGCTCCCGCCGATACGACTCCACCAGCAGCAAGGCCTGGTCGTAATTGGCACAGTAGACCTGATAGGCTCGCTCCAACTCCTCTTGGAATTCCAGGAATAAGTTACCTGACAGTGAAAAAGCAACAAGGAGCTCACAAAGGCATGTCTGTCTGTCCCTTTGCTTGGGATGGGGAGGTAATGAGTGAGACAACTGCCAGCGTGACCACCTTTGTCACCTTGGGCAAGGTGCCTCATCTCCCTGGGTTTCCATTTGTCTCATTTGACTTCCACAAGCATGCTGTAAGGATCGGTGGCAGAATGCGACAGAGCTCAGGCTGACGCACTGAGGACTTGATAAATGGTAGTTATAATTACAGCAACAATATTGGTAATGCTCATATTTTACAGTGCTTTACAGTTGACAAAACACACCCATGTTGTACCTTTACAATGACCATGTATGGCAAGCACAGCCACTGACGCCCAGTTTGCAAAGACGCACTGTAACACAGCCCAGGAAGTGACGGCACGGCCGGTCTTCAGACTTGGGGAGGAAGAGGGCCAGATTTCCAGTCAACCCTTTCCCAGCTGCGCAGCCTGGGCTAGCCTTTGACCCCTCCAACCCTGCATGTTCTCATCTATAGTTTGGAATAAAAATACTACTCACTTCCAAGTGTTTTTTCTTTTGATGAGGATTAAGTGAAATAATACATGTAAAGCATTTGACACAAACTTCATTCATCAAATATTTACCAACTGCTCATTTATTGACTATATGCCACACACTCTTCTAGGCTCTGTGAACAGAACAAAATCCCCATCTCACGGGACTTATACTCTGTGGGGGAAGTGGACAGTAAGTAAATATAGTCCATATGCTAGGTAGAGATGAGTATCATGAACTAAGACAAAGGCAGAAAAAGAGTTAGAGAGTGGCAGATCTATTTAGGGAAGGCTTCTGTGAAAAATGTTTACCAGAGACCAGAAGTCCCTAGCCCTGGGAATATCTAGGGGAGGGCAGCATACCGGGCTCAGGGAAGAACAGATACAAAGGTCTGAAGGCAGGTGAGCACTGGGCATGCGGGTAAGAGCAAGAAGGCGACTGTGCCTGCAGTAGAGTGAGCAAGGGCACAGCGCTGACCAAATAAACAGGAAACTGAAGCCAGATCATGGAGGGCTTTGAAGGAAAGAAGGAAGGAAGGTGGAGTAAGGTGTTTGGATTTTATTCTAATGGTGGCAGGTAGCAACTAGAGGGTTTTGAGCAGAGGTGACATGATCTGGTTTCTGTTTTAAAAGGATCACTACAGTGCTCAATTTTAGCAGCTCTTACACCAAAATTAGAACAGTATAGACAAGATTAGCATGGCCACTGTGCAGGAATAACATGCAAATTTGTAATGCATTCCATATATTTAAATCACAAACTTATGAGACTGGCTATCTGTAGGGGGGGAAGGAACAGGTCGGAAAGGATGAGGAAATGGGATAGGGTGGTAAGAATGAGAGGTAATGCTTTGCTGAATACCCTTCTGTATAGCTCTTACTCTTAGAACCATGAAACGTTTCACACATTTCCAGTATATAGATAGATATATAGATATAGATGTGTGTGTATACATATATGTTTGTGTGTGTGTATATATACACAAATTTGTATATACAAGGTCTGTCCAGAAAAAGTCCAGCTATTGTTAATATAACAAGAATGGTTTGCGCGACATCGATGTAACCTGACACCCAAGGAGAGTGGAGTGGAATGCGCATGCGTGAACAATGACCACTTCACTGTACTAATCAGTGGGGGTGGTAGACACTGTTGAGTGAGTATGTGTACTGTGTGGCCTTACTTTCAAAATGACTGAGCGAGTAGTGCAACGAATCTACATTAAATTTTGTGTTAAGCTTGAACATTCCTCTGCAGAATCTACATCAAATTTTGTATTAAGCTTGAACATTCCTCAGCAGAACAATCCTTTGGAGGATTCAGAGGTCACAGCTATGGGCAACTGGTGATTGGCAGGTTCGTCATGACAACATGCCCACTCACGTATCACATCTCATGCAGAGTTTTTTTGTGAACCATCAAATCACCCCGCTGACTCAACTTCCCTACAGCCCAGACTTGGTGCCCTGTGACTTCTGGCTTTTCCCAAAACTAAAATCACCTTTGAAAGGGAAGAGAGTTCAGACCATTGATGAGATTCAGGAAAATATGATGGGACAACTGATGATGACTGGGAGAACTGTGTGAGGTCCCAAGGTGTCTACTTTAAAAAAGACTGAGGAGTCATTGTCTTATGTACACTGTTTCTTGTACCTTGTATTTTCTCAATTAATGTCTCTATTTTTCATAGTACTTGGCTGTATACCTTCTGGACAGACCATATGTGTGTGTGTTTATGTACATATATATACACATTTATGTCATACAAATATATAATATATATATGTGATATATAAATGTAACTAAGGCCAACCAGGTGTGGAGGGATAACCCCAAATGGAATACAAGCAATAGAAATTTATTACAAACAAAACATAATCACAGTAAAGAGTGTGGCGAGGAAATTACAAACAAAGGACCTGTTTTTCACAGTGACACTCTTAGTAATAATGAAACTTCTTATGTGTTTGCTAACTTTGAATGACTAAGTAAGTATATCATAAATAATGACAGCCACTTCTTCCTGTCAGAGAGATGTTGCAAATAAGAAAAGGGGGAAGGTTAGAATAAACCTTTCGATGCTGGTGGAATTGGAGGTATCAGTATGAACTCATGGTGTTAAATACATAAATATAGATAAATAGATATAGAAAGAAACATAGATATGTGTATATGCATGTAACAGCATATAAACATGTACTTCCTAGCTCTACCAGCTGAGAAGGCTTAGGAGCCATGACACCCCAGGAGCAGTGATCACACCAGAGGCTGGAACCTGGTGTCTAAAGACCATTCTCCAAAGACAGGAGCCAGAGCTCCAAGGAGGAATGGCTGGTTCTAGGGATGAGGTAGGGAAAATAGAAGATGATCCTGAAACATCCTGTGGTGTCAGAAAGTGAGGAAGTACTAAAAAAATGTTAGAGGTGCATTGAAAGGACACAGGAGCCAACTTGAAGGAACTCACCATAGCTGAAGTTGGCACAATTTGAGCAAGAAAATAAATCATGATAGTACTAATTTCTTCCTCACAGAATAAAGTAAAAATCCATGAGTCCATATTGATATAAACAAATAACTGAAGAAAAATGAATGGAGAGAAAGGACAGTTCTTTCTTTTTTAAAAAAAATATTTATTTATTTATTTGTCTTTAGAGGGGAAGGAGAGAGGGAGAGAAACATCAATGTATGGTTGCCTCTAGTGCGTCCCCTGCTGGGAACTGGCCTGCAGGGAACTCGCTTGCAACCCAGGCATGTGCCCTGACTGGGAATTGAACTGCAATCCTCTGGTTCGCAGGCCTTTGCTCAATCCACTGAGCTACACCAGCCAGGAGGACAGTTCTTTCTTAAAAGATAACTTTAATTAATAAATGTAAAAGGAGAATAATGGAAATAGAAAATCATAATTAGAATACCAGTAATAATTACTGTAGCAAGAACCATTAATGGCCCTGGCTGGTGTGGCTCAGTGAATTGAGCACGGGCCTGTGAACCAAACAACTGTAGTTTGATTCCCAGTCAGGGCACATGCCTGGGTTGCAGGCCGGTTCCCAGCAGGGGATGCACAAGAGGCAACCATACATTGATATTTCTCTCCCTCTCTCCTTCCCTTCCTCTCTAAAGATAAATAAATAAAAAGTCTTAAAAAATCACTAAAAATAATTTTTTAAAAAGAACCATTAATGGATGTTAAAATTGACTAAAGTTTGAAAAGAAACAGAACATTGGCATAATGCTGAAGTTTTTCTCCACAAGTATTTATTAATTACAAAGGGGAAAAAAGTAACATTACAGTGGAAAATCTAGCAGATACCACCTTCTATCAGCTATGTGATCAAAGTTATCACTATTCTAAGTAGTAATGTGTAGTATAATCATGTGATATGATGCACTGAGAACATGACATTGACTGTGATATGCCTGCCAAAAGTGTATAACCTTAACTTAATAATTATAATTTTATAAATCATATAGAATGTTATAAAATACAAAATTTGTATTATAGCACAGATATGTAAAATATGAATTGTATATGTAAACTTTTACAAAATATATAAAATAATTTTAGTTTTAATAACTAAAAACTTCAAATTGAGGAATTTTCTATTAACTTAAACTCTTCAGAAGAATTGTAGTGACTAAAGACAAAAAGAGACTAAAGAACTGTAACAGACAGAAGAAAACTAAGGGAACATGACAATTAAATAAAATGTGATGCCCTAGACTGGATCTTGGATCCTGGATCAGAAAAAAAAAAAACGTTAACAGAAACACTGATAAAATCTGAGAAAGGTCTGTAGTGTTAACAGTGTTAATTCCGCTCTTTCAATAAGTGTACTATGGATAGGTAAGACATCAAAGTTAGGGGAAGCTACATGAAGGATATATAGGAGCTTTTGTATTATTTTGCAACTTTTTAAGTCTAAAATTATGTCACGATAAAAAGTGTAAGAAGAACCTTGGAGACATCATGCAAAGTGGAGAAAGCCGGACACGGAAGACGAGGCAGCAGGCAGGGCTCCCCTGATAGGAGGCTCCCGGCGGCCCGGACACATGGAAACAAGAAGCAGCGTGGCCGCGACCAGGGGCTGCGTGGGTGGGCGTTTTCAGCTGAGGACGAGGCAGCAGTGGTATAACAAGGTGGACTGCTTACTGTCACTAAATGTACGCTTAAAAGTATTATGATGGTACATTTTATAAGTTACGTATATTCTACCACAAAAAGTTTTAAATAGTTTTTTAAAACACTGCACACTAAGGTTATAACAGCCTTATTCACAACTGCCAGATCTTAGAAGCAACCTGTTGTCCTTCAGTGGGTGAATGGACAAACTGCACCACATCCATGGTGATTATAAAAAACGAAATGAGGTATTGAGTCAGGAAAAGACATGGAGAAACCCTAAGTGCATATTACTAGATGAAAGAAGCCACTCCTAAAAGGCCACACACCATATGATTTCAGCAACATGACATATGGAAAAGGCAAACTATGGAGACAGGAAAGGATCCCTGGTTTCCAGGAGTTGGAGGATGAAGGGGGTCAGGAGGCAGGACACAGAGAGTTTTTAGAGCATGACATTGTATCAGTCTAAGTGCACGGAGCTGTACAGCGCAAAGAGTGGGCCCAATGCACATTATGGATTTCAGCCACTAATATATTAATATTCATTCACCAATTATAATAAGTATGCCATGCTAATGTAAGATATTCAGAACAGGAAAAACTCTGCATGTAGGGAAGAAGTATATGAGAGTTCTCTGTATACTTCCTACCTAATTTTTCTATAAACCTAAAGTATTCTAAAAATAGTCTATTAGCGCTACACTATGTGGAGGCTCAGCTGGGATCAAGAGTGGTAAATGGAAGAGCTTTTAGAAGCTGCTACAAATACCCAAGCAAGAGTATTTGGTTGTCCATATGGGGGGAGTGGTGAGGGTGAAGAGAAATGTATTGACCATACAGGGCAGGTGGAGAGCCCTGGACCACAGGAAGCCGAGCTGACCCCCATGCCTGCCAAAGCTATGGGCTGGACCTCTTCCCTGGACCGAGCCCCCCTTGGGACAATTGATGGAACCCAGACCAGCGAGGTCCAGCCTCCTACAGCAGCATTACAGCCCAGGACCAAACTGCCACCCCAGTGCTGGCCCAGTGACTCCTCAGAGGGAGCTCCCTCAGCAGGAAAGGTCACCCAAAACTACAGGTAGGAGGATCGGTGTGTCAGGGAGAGCCACCAACTGCGGAGATGACCTCCACCGAGACACAACTTGGGTGTAGCCATGAAACCTACGGCAGGTGCCATCTTCTCTTCAACATGGGCGCCTCCATGGGAATGTGGGTGAGGTCAAAGGCACCGCATCACACCACTATGGCCAGGGATGGGAGTGTGTCTGTAACTGGAGGGCAAAGGAAGGCGCACCCCCATAGAGCAGAAATGTCCAAAAAGGCAGGAATTCCCTGGGACAAGGTAAAGACGTATTTCCTCTTTTCTTGTCTTTCTCCAGTCATAGAGTGGAAAGAAATCATAGCAGAGAAAAAGTTACTCCCTGTATCTAAAGGGCGTTCTACCTCTAGCTGGGATTAGTTACAACGAAGAAAAAGGGAGGCAGAATGGTCAAGAGCTAGGGTTCTAGAGTCTGAAAGATCTGGCTTCAAATCCTCGTTCTCTGTGGTCAAGCTGTGTGGCCCTGGGAAAGTAACTGAACCTCTCTGGGCCTTGGGTTTTCTTTGTAAGATGCAGATAATAATAATCAATAGGTAATGGTGTCATGGGAATGAAGAGGGCTACTACATGTTAAGTACTCCTGCGCTCGATGGGTTGGACTAGATATTATTTGAGGGTCCTGCCAGCTGAGACCAGCTGTTTCAGGGATCCCAAACGCAGTCCTCCACTGAGCTGCATTTTTCTGAAACTCTGGACATGGTTCTGCAATGACCACATGCTGAGAACAACTCCACAGGAATCCAAGGCTGACAGCTGCCTCGTCTTTTGCTTACCAATTAGCTGCACTTGTTCCTCTTCCCTGGAGTCTGTCTCCTGCAGATCCTGAAGAAGTCTGCTGTTCACCTTGATGATATCATCGGTGTTTGAGAACAGGACATCCAGATCTCCCTGTGGCAGCTGGAAAGAGCAAAGAAGCCAAGAGAGGTTGCTGGGAGGTGAGTAGAGGGACCAGATTTGCAGGCCTTGAGGACAGTAGAGAACACTCACAACCACAGGGGCCCACTGCTCTTGGAAGGCTGCCCTAGTGGAATGTTTGCAAGGACTTGGAAATGTTATAAGTTAGATGTTTCCATTACTCTACAAGAAGGAAGAAAAAATGGGCACTCAGTCTGGAAGGAAAACTAAGCTGGGGTTTTACCAGCTATCATTTTTCTTCCCTCATTTCCCATCTGTCATAGAAGGCTGGGGAGTCGAACTTCTTTCCAGCTGATATATTTGGCACATATCACCATCACCTTGAGATGTATTCTGGACACCATATCTTATTAACTAAGGTTACCACTGTTAAAAAAGGACACAGGACATCTATTTATGTGCAGGGACATATATGAGAGAGAGAGAGATGACAGATGATTGATAGATAGGGATCGATAGATTGATTGATTCTGGGTACATAACTGTAAAAAAATATCTAGAGTATGATCTTTGTTAAAATAAGTAACAATCGATATTTGCTTATTTAATGCCTACAGAAAAAAAATCCAAAGTTCTGGAGAGTAAAATGTGAGACTTTCACCTTCTACATTACCCACTTCAGTGTTTCATTGCATTCACTCGGGAAACACTGACTGAAGTCCATTCATTGTGTGTCGGGACTGGGACACAGTGAACTAAATGGTCTTTGCTCTCAAGGAACTTCCACATTAGGGAATGCTTGAAATTTTATAGAGAAAACTTGTACTATTTCTGAAATCAGCTGGGGAAAGTTGTAAAAATGAACCCTAAAATAGAAACCCACCATGTACTAACCTCTGCATGCCACGTCCCCCAATAAGACAATGAGAATGTAGGTTGGTTCCAGCAATCTGTTCTAAACTTGATAAAGGGCTATTTTATCCGTTAGCTGACTTAATTCTCTACGGTGATCATCCCTCTCCCCATTTAGCAGATGAACACGCTAAGCCTCCGAAGCCTTGCTGAAGGCTGCATGGCCAGTAAATGGAAGGACAGGGCTTACATCCAGGTGAGGTCCACTGTGACTTTCCCTCCATCAAGCCTGTTCCAAGGATCAGATGTGAGGTCTCAGAACCTAGGACCCACATTTGCCCCAAAACATAGGCTGTGTGTGGCCCCACCCAGGTACCTGCTGCAGGCGGCTCCTGATGTCCGAGGCACAGAGCTGGAGCATATGCAAGTACGAGGCCTCGGTGTCAATGAGCTCCCTGATGGCCAGCCTCTGATGGAGCGAACATCTGTCCTCAGAGACTTGACTTTCTCCATCCGGACTCCCTGTCCTGGAGGATGGCTCATCGGCCCCACGATCGGCCATGTCGGCAGGTTCTGGGGAAGGCAAACGCATCCCAACTCATTTCCAGGAGCTCCACTGGGACATGCTGGTCACTAATCCAAAGCTAACTATTCATGGAGCAGCCTAAAAACATCATTAGCTACATCCACAGTCAAGGTGAACTGTATATTAGCATTTGTGAGTGGTATGTGAACAGCCTTAAAAAGTAGAACACAACTAAGAAAATTGTTGACATTTTAAATTAATTTCCCAGGATTCAGACAATGTGCTTGTCTGGCTTTTCTTCTATTTTTTCCCCCCAGCTCTTGACCCAGATTTCTTTATCTGGTTCAACTGAGTCAGTCTCTCTCTCCCCCCACCCCTCCTGGAGTGGTTCCCTGCCCCGCCCACTACCCCATTTGGGCATACTACCTGTCTCCTTGGCTACTTCCACAGCCTCCAAGATCAGCTTCCCAAATCCAAACCCTCTCCCACCTGCTGCCACCCACACCCATTCATCCTGGAAATGGTTCCAGTTTAAACTTCCTGAAAGAAAGCTCGTGACCATGGTAGTCCATGCTGTGAGATGCCCCTTGCAGCCCAGTGGCCAGTTCCAACCTACACACCCTCCAGTGAAAAGAGAGTTATGTGCTTTTCTCCATTTCTTCGGTCACTTTCTGCCTCTGCTTTTGCACCTGCTGTGCACCGTCCCTCATCCTCTCTCAGGCCACGTGAGCCTCCCAGCTAGATGTATTTTTCTTCTTTATCTCAAAGTTTAAAAAGTGCAAACGGCAATGGACAAGATGGCCTGAAAAACCTTCCCACCAGAAAATATCTAAAAATGGTAGATCAGCTAGAACAAGCTTTCTTTTCACTGCATGGCAGGACTTGCAAGAGATGGAAGGAAATCATCAGGGTCCCCAAACAGAGGGAACTGAAAACCAGAGCAGGAGCAGTTGAGCTGACACAGCTGAAGTGGCCAGAGTGGGCAAGGAAGAGGGCACCGCCCGGCTCAGTGAGCCAGGGACTTCGGCGTTAGTGCCCAGGCAAGATGAGGAGACAAGCTCCTTCGCAGAAAGGGGACCCCCAAGGACTCTGGTGAATTGGTAGAAAAGAAAAAACATTGGCCCCCGCAACCCACAGAGAAGATGACAAAGATGCTCCTTTATCTTGGGTTTGAGTCCTGGTTGAGGGGAAAATTCTCTTCTGAAAATTCATAACAACAGGCCTGCCTTCACTAGGTTTTGGGTTCAAACGGCCTAAAGATAAGAAATTAACAAGAAAAAAATTCTGGACCAATGCTACCAATGCCACTCTGAGTGCCCATAGGACAAATAAAATGTTTCCAGAAGGACACATCCTCACATGGCACTACAACAGACAAGCCCGCTGTGAGGACGAGTTCCAAACCCAAACTGACAGGACCTCCACCGTGAGTGAGCATCCTCAGAAACAACGAAGAGCGGAATTAGACCCCAAGAGCATCAGATAATCAGACACCAAGATAAAATCTATAAAATAAGCAGGGAAAGAAAAGCACATTATATTTTTTAAAGATTTTATTTCTTTTAGAGAGATGGGGAAGGGAGGGAAGAAGAGAAGGAGTGAAACTCAACGTGTGGTTGCCTCTAGTACACCCACATTGGGGGAACTGGCCTGCAACCCAGGCATGTGCCCTGACTGGGAATCAAACCATGATCAGATGCTTTGGTTCGCAGGCCTGCACACAATCCACTGAGTTACACCAGCCAGGGCCAGCACACTATATATTTTTTTTAATTAAGACCTGTATACCCTGGCTGGTGTAACTCAATGGATTGAGTGCAGGCCTGCAAACCAGAGTATTGCGGTTCAATTCCCAGTCAGGGCACGTGCCTGGGTTGCAGGCCAGTTCCCAGCAGGAGACACATGAGAGACAACCACACATTGATGTTTCTCTCCCTCTCTCCTTCCCTTCCCCTCTATAAATAAATAAATAAATAAATAAATAAATAAATAAATAAAACTGTATTTGCTAACTTGCAAAGATGTGCAATAACAACAGTATTTTATTAAAAAAAATTAAGACCTGTATGATTTTTAAAGAACCAAATACAATTCACAAAAATTAAAATTTAGTCTTTGAAATTAATAACTGAGTAGACAGATTCAACAGATATCAAGAAAAGAGAAAGGGGCAGGTAGAGCTGAAGAAATTATCCAGACTGCTAAAAACACAGAAGCAGGGGAACTATAAGAGAGTTTAAGAGATCTGGGTTACTGAACGAAGAGGGGCGTGTATCAGATCTGAGCTCCAGAAGGCAATACTAAAGAGAGGAGAGGCAGTATTTGAAGAGATAAGACCAAGAATTCTCCAGAATTTATAAAATATATGAATTCTTCAATCCAAGAAGTACTAGCCTAGAGTAGGACAAGTTTAAAAAACAAACAACAACAAAAAAACAAAACCCCCACACCTAAACACATTGAAGGAAAAACTGCAGAACCTTGAAGGCCTCAAAAATTTACCTTGTTATGTTCCTGTTCTCAGAAAACTATCAGAGGTTGTGCTCCAACAAAATAAAGAAAGAAATCAAGCAAGAGGAAGACATGGGATCCGGAGATTGGTGATCCAGTTTGGGAGAGGGACTGGGGCAGTCCCCGGGACAGGTGAAGGGAATCCTTGATTTGACTGCTGGCTACAGGCAGATGGCAAGACATCTGGTCTAGATGTACTTCAGTCTGGTCTAGATGTCAACAGTCTGGTCTAGAGTACTTCAGAAGGTACTAGAAGGTCTTGGAAACAGATTTATCATAAAGTAGAGAATATGGTGTTTATTTAGACATAACGACACAGATGATATATGCAAAATTAAGAAGCAAACTGACAAACAAAAACAATTGTTATAACAATTATTTTTTTAGATTTTATTTATTTATCTTTAGAGAGAGGGGAAGGGAGGGAGAAAGAGAGGAAGAGAAACATCAATGTGTGGTTGTCTCTCATGCACGCCCCCTACTGGGGACCTGGCCTGAAACCCAGACATGTGCCCTGACTGGGAATCAAACCGGTGACCTTTAGGTTCGAAGGCCAGCACTCAATCCACTGAGCCACACCAGCTAGGGCAAGAACTTTTTAATAACAAAAAATATAAGTCACTACCTGGATCAGTTATAAATAGTGATCCAGGTCACTACCTGGATCAGTTATAAATAGAATTTAAACACAGAATAATGGAAGTGATCTAATTAATATTACCTGCAACTATACTAAGGGGATAGGGTAATGGGAAGGCCGTGTATGTGTGGTGGAAGGGGTGTAGAAAAAAATAGCCAAATCCTCATCTTCCATAGTAAAAGCCAAAGAACAAAGCCTACCCTGAAAACTCAGCGAGTAGCAGTACACGCATGCTACTTAAAGACATGCAGGTAAATGCCAAAATAACCAGCTAAGAATGACAGAAGTCACTGCCCAGCAGTGGCTGGAGCAGGAAGGAAAGGGAAAAGAACAGATCGTTTCTCACAACAAACACTGCGGAACAATCTGTCCCTGTTTCTCGTACCAAATGTAGAACTACCCACCCCTTTAAATTATCTGCTTTTATATAATAAACCAAATGTAAGAAAAAGTGAGAGTTTCTCGTTTTGCTGGAGATCAATATTAAAAATAAATCATATTCCTATATATGTCCACAACATTTAAAAGTACAATTTAAAGGAAGATAGCAGCATAATAATACAAAAACATAATAAATGAATAATACCCTTTATTTCTTCCTAAATATCTTAATTTAACAAAAGATGTATACTATGACCTTTATAAAGAAAATTATAAAACTTTATTGAAATACATTTAAGAATTACAAGCAGAGATACTGTGTGTTCACGGATAGTGAGAATCAGTATCATAAAGGTGAAAATTCTCCCCAAACTGATGCGATACAATTCCAACAAAACTTGTAACCAGGTGTGTTTGTTTGTTTGAGAACATAATAAAATGACTCTAAAATATGTAAGGAAGAGTAAAAGGCCAATAATGGCTAAGTCCATTCTGGAAAACAAGGCGGGGGGCCTGTCGCATCAGACACTTAGATCTACTTAAAAGCCCTAGTAACTAGGCGGTATGTTACTGACACAGGAGCAAACAGATCAACGGAACAGACCATAATGAACATGGGAATGGCATGTGACATAGTCTCATTATAAGTCAGTGGGAAAAAGTGATCCGCGAGATAATTGGCTTCCCATATAGAAAAATAAACAAAGGCAATTCCACTTCCAAATAAACTCCAGAAACATTAAAGACATAAATGGTAAATGTCTTAATTTTTTAAGACTCTTAAAAATTTAAGACTCTTAAATTCTCCAAAGAAAACACAGGAAAATATTTTTATGCTCCCCAACTGGCAAGGATTCCTTCAATAAGACATAAAATGTACAAACTCCAAAAGAAAAGACTAATAAGACTGTTCAATATAACTACAATAATACTGAAATGTTCTTCTGTGTATAAACCATTCTACAACCCAAAGAAAAGAGATGTCTCAGATCAGAAGATATTTGTAATGAATTTATAATTAGACATTTACATAAGTGTCTAATCACTATGTCGTACACACGAAACTGATATAATACTGTATGTCAATTGTACTCAAAAAGTAAAAAGTTATTTTAAAAACACAATGTCACACCCAGGGGTGGACCCTGATAGTCAAGATACAGAACAGTTCCACCACAAACATCCCTCGTGTTGCCTTTCCACCCTCAGCTCCACCCCCACCCCATGCTTAACCCCTGGCAGCCAGGAACGTGTCGTCCATTTCTTTCACCTGTCAGTTCAAGAACGTAAGTTACTCATATAGTACGTGTATAGGAACCATGCAGTATGTGGCCTTTTGGAACTGACTGTTCACTCAGAGTAATTTCCTGGAGATGCATGTAAATTGCTGTGGGTATCAATAGTTCCTTCCTTTTTATTGCTGAGCAGATGAGACACTGTATTTGTTTTAAAACAAAACTGAAGTAAATATGGTAAAAATGTTAAAATTAAATAGAGCTAGGCAAAAAGACCCTG